GCGGTTGGCCAAATTGTACACAGATGAGATTGTGAGACTGCATGGGGTTCCGGTTACTATAGTATCGGATAGAGACCCACGGATCACATCACGGTTTTGGCCTAAGTTCCAGGAATCCATGGGTACGAAATTGCGGTTTAGCACCGCGTTTCATCCTCAAACGGATGGGCAATCTGAACGGGTGATTCAGATCTTGGAGGACATGTTGAGGGCATGTGCCTTGGAGTTCCAGGGGAGCTGGGACAATCAGTTGGCTTTAGTGGAATTCGCCTATAACAACAGTTATCAGGCAAGTATAGGCATGCCTCCATACGAAGCATTGTATGGGAGGAGATGTCGGACACCATTGTGTTGGGACGAGGTCGGCGAGGCTAAGCTCGAGGGAACCGAGTTAGTTGAGATCACTAAGGAGAAGATAAAAGTCATACAGGATAGGCTCAAGGCTGCCCAAGACCGGCAGAAGAGCTATGCTGATAAACGCTGGAGGACGTTGGAATTTGAGGTTGGTGACGAGGTATTTCTGAGGGTATCACCTTGGAAAGAAATCATCAGGTTCCTCAGTCGGGGTAAGCTTAACCCACGTTACATAGGCCCGTTCAAAATCCTTGAAAGGATTGGGGTTGTAGCTTACCGACTTCAGTTGACTCCAGAGTTAGAAAAGATTCATAATGTATTTCATGTTTCTATGCTCAAGAAGTATGTGCGGGACCCATCACATATTCTTGAGAAACCACCGGTAGAAATCCGAGAAGATCTACATTATACGGTACAGCCGGTAAAGATCATAGACCGACAGGTAAAGAAGCTAAGGAGAAAAGAGGTGCCGATGGTAAAAGTACTTTGGAAGAGTGATCGTGTCGAGGAGCAAACGTGGGAAGTGGAGACCCTAATGAGGGAACAATATCCATTTCTGTTTGATTAGACACGTGGATTTCGGGGACGAAATCCTAAATAAGGGGGGTAGAACTTGTAACACCACCCCGAGTATTTGTACTGTACCAAATTATGTATTGAACCTTGAGAAATGTATAAAAGCATTTTTACGTGATTGTAAATTTTTTATCATTTCTATTACGTGAATAGTAGAATTCACGTGGGGCCCACACCGGATGTGGGGCCGCCCGATATTATCGGAAGCACATATTATATTGATCTTGGACTAGATAATATGTATATGGTGATGGATATCCTAATTGGGCCATGGCAATGGCATAGAGTTGACCGGTTGGTCAAACGAGGCCAAATTATCGGTATCGGCAATTTATCTGATAACAGCCCAAAAAGGGATTCCGGAGATTTCTAAATTAAAGTTGGGGAATCATATTGATTCTAAGGTCCAATAAGGATTGGGAACAAGTGTTATATTTTATTTGACCCGATAAAATAAAATATACTTAAAATAGTCCGGAAATTACAACTTTCGGGACCGATTGTACACTTGGGTACGCAAAGGGGTGACCTCCCACATAAGTGGGGGCCAACCCACGTCTTTATCTCTGCAAGGAAGCCAAGGGGAGCCGCACAATGTGATGGAAAGGGGGCAAGAGCTGGTTGGGGGCCAAACCAATAAATGGAGAGGGGTCCCTCCCCCCATATTATTGGTGAATAAGCCAAAAAGGCTATCCCCTCACCCAACAACCCATATGCTCGGCCAACCCATTCAAAGAAGAGAGTTAAGCTCTGGAAATACTCCATATTCATCTGCCATATACGCATTGGAGCTAAGGAGGAAGAAGGAGGAGAAAAGAGAAGAGGAAAAGTTGGTTTTGGAGAGGAAAACTTGTGTTTAGCAAGGTAAGGACTCCATTAATCCCATTTCTTGTTCTTCAATACTCTTATATGATTATTCAATCATATTTCACACCCTAGTATTGTTCTACACTTTGTTATGTGTAGAAAGAGGGGTTGGAAGGTAGTTCTAAGTCCAAGAACGGACTTAGGAGCCAAAGTAACCGGTTCGCCGGAAAATAACCTTTTGGGGGTTATTTGTATTACTATGGGTTTTATGATGATAAAACATTGTTAGTAACTTGTCTAAGGTATTAAAGGAACTTTCACGGAGTTGAAAGAGTCGCCGGAGTTGTCGCCGGAGTTCGTTGAAGTTCGCCGAAGTTTCGCCGGAGCTAAATCGGGAAGGCTAGAACTTTATAAGCTTCATTAAGGTGAGAAGACGGATTTATGCTTTATAACTTTTGCGTGAGGCATGAGATTACCTAAAGTAATCAAGGATATGTTTTGTGGAATGATTAAAGATAATCAAGTATTTGCTTATGCCATGATTTTGCATAAAACATAGTTGAAAAACATGTTATGTACGTTTGGTGATTAAAAATGTGGTAACATATTTTGTGTGATGATCCAGGGATCCAAAATGGTATTTTTGGATCAAGGGCATCAAGAAGTATATGTGTATAAAATTTCAAGTTAATCGGACTCCGTTTGGGGGGTCAAAAGGGGCGTTGACCGCCAAGTCAACTGCCATACCCGTCCGGGTATTGACACATACCCGACCGGGTATTTGCTGAAAAATTGCCCAGGGGGCTACTGTCTCCTATACCTGATCGAGTATAGGTATATACTCGATCGAGTATACATGGAAAATTAGATTTGGGGGCTACCGCCTCCTGTACTCGACCGAGTATGGGTAGATACTCGATCGAGTATTGGTTTATGCTCAAAACGGGCAGTTTTGAGCGGGTTAATGTGGGCCGTTCAGGTGGGACCCGCCCACATTGGTTCCTAAGGATGGTTATATGACTATAGGGCTAGGTATTGTCCATAGTTGAAAGAACGAAAGGTTAGCCATATCCAGGTTAGGGTTTGGTGAGGATTTAGTTTGGGGTTGAGTATCCCCGGGACATTAGATGATCCTGAAACTCGGTTGGGGTTGAGCATCCCCGGGACTATAAATGATCCTGAAACTCGGTTGGGGTTGAACATCCCCTGGACATTAAATGATTCTGAAACTCGGTTGGGGTTGAGCATCCCCGGGACCATACATGATCCTGAAACTCGGTTGGGGTTGAGCATCCCCGGGACTGCAAATGATCCTGAAATTCGGTTGGGGTTGAGCATCCCCGGAACATTTAATGATCCTGAAACTCGGTTGGGGTTGAGTATCCCCGGGATGCTAAATGCTCCCAAAACTCGGTAGGATATTATGAATGTAGAATGTAGCTGGTGAGCTAGGCATTCGGGAAAAGGGTGAGAAAGGTCAAGTAAGAACTTTATCTCTAAAAGACTCTTTGAATGAAATGACCTACGGGTCGAGTATTTTACACACACACACACACACACACACACACACACACACACACACACACATATATATATATATATATATATATATATATATATATATATATATATATATATATACACACACACACTGTATGTATCATCGGATGAATGAGTCACACACACACACACACACACACACACACACACACACACACATATATATATATATATATATATGTGTGTGTGTAACACCCTATTTTTGGGTCTCGTGTCTGAAACATTAGTTATTCTTCATATAGCCTGCTTGTCACTAGTACTTCTATGGAGTACTGACCCCTCCGGGGGCCTTCACATTTTTCAGGTTGAGGCTAGGGTCCTACTACCTGCACCTTTGCCTAGGGTGATCGATCGAGAAGGAAGACGTGGTTCGTGCTTTCATTCATATTTCAAATGTATAAACTGCTCATGGATTTTTGAACAATATTTTCATTAAAACAGTTGGGGGCCTGCGTTCCCGTGTTTGCCACGTATGGCTAAGTATCAAACATTTTATTATTTCCGCATTTGTTTGAGTATGATATTGATGTTGATTGTACGTGTTTACTAATCGGTTTGGCGATGGAATCAATCGGACGCCTTGTACAACTCAATAGGGATGAACTGTTGTTGTTCTTATCGGGTTGTACAACGGTTGTCTACGTGGCTCGGATGGGGTCCGGGGCGTGACAAAACGAATCTCTAGCCCCTATTTGGAAATGCTCACAATCACAAGCATCTTTTATGCAATTATCCCTATTTTTTACAATTATACTACAAATGCGCACACACACACACATGTGTGTGTGGACATATAAATCCTAAATTTATTGGTTTGCAACATATTAAAGTTTATATTTGAATGAGACAAACGATTAATTGCCAATGTCATTTTTATAGTTACTCCCTACGTACCGCTATTACTCGGACGGAAGGGAGTGACACACCAACCAAGACAAAATAACTTTGTGATAAAGCAACCAATCAAAAAGCAAAAAATCAACCATACTAAAGAAGATCCGTATTACTGCCTCATTAAATTTACTCTTACTTTCCAAATAAGGTATCAGACAATAATAATAGAACATCCAAAATGAAAAAACGAGACAATTATAAGAGGACACAGGGGTACCATTTTATATATTCATTTATTAATATAAATTGATGAAATCTACAAGTCTAGGGCGTTTTTTATATATTAATTTTAGACACTTTTTATTGTATTGTAACTAATTTATTATATTAGTTTGTTTGAGAATTTGAGAATGAACTTTATGTAAGTTCATATTATAACCATTTCACACAAGTACAGGGGTGTAGCTAGGGGATGGTCAATCCTGACCGTGACCCAGTTCAAATTTTAAAAATGTGAAACTTAAAAGTGTAAAAATTCCGTCTAAAACAATTTCAAAGATATTCTTGGTATTAACACAGTTTAGCCAAGAATATCTTTGAAATTCAGTAACACTTTTATTGAGTTATTTGATTCAGAATGTTGGTAACAATTTCAAAGATTCTGTGTTACTTGGTATCAACACAATTTAACAATTTCAAAGATATTCTTGGTATCAACAAAGATATTCTTGGTAACAATTTCAAAGATATTTGAAATTCAGTATCAAATAACAGTAACACAAGTAGAATGTATAATAAGGATTACATAATTATTAGGGTAGAACGGGCGAAACTGACCCGCATGGGACGGATTATGGGCTAAACCACACGGGTCAGAAAGCTAGTCTAGGTCTTTGCCCGCCCCATCGGTCAGTACCGTTGTTTTGAAACCCTACGAAATTCTAAGCCCAATATCAGTTTTTTCGTTAGCTTCTCAAATTCAGGCTCCGATTTAGGGTTTGGGTTAGAGCTCTTCTCAGACTCTTTAGCTTCCATTACAATATCGGCTGATTTTGTTGACTGAATCGATTAAAAGAAATCACTCAATCCGTAATATGGGAAAGAGGGAAAGAAAGTTGAAAGCGTGCTCGTCATCGTCACCACTTGAAGGGGAATCTAAGGAATCTGAACCCGCCGCCGCCACAGCTGTCAGCGATGATGATGCGGAGGGTAATGAAGATCTTAGTTTAAAAATCGTTGAGACCGCCATAAAACGCGCTAAGTCCTTGAAAAATGACGCCGATTTGGAGGAGCCGATGAGTGTCGATAGTAAGAAGAGCAAGAAAGAGAAGAAAAAGAAGAAGAGGAAAGATGGGGACACTAAGTTGGAAGAGAAAAATGTTAGTGCGTTTTACTTGCATGTAATTAAGGAACCTTGTTCCAATTTTCTTAGCTGAATTTTACTTCTGACTTGAGCTTTTAAATATTCCCCAGGCTTCTCATGAAATGCCTCATAAATGTGAAAACTTCTGCAGCAACATAGTTGGGGTAATTTCTGATTCAGAATGTTACTGTTATTTGATGGTTGGGTAATGATATGTAGACTTTGATTGTGAACGTTCCAGGGGAACATTCATATGTTACACATTTGTATGTGACACACATTAATTGAGTTATTACGAATGGCTCCTAGAATATCCATATTTAATCTCTGTATTTACTGTTTATAGTTTTGCTTCACATCAGCTCCAAGTATATTTAAAAAAAATTGGTTGTGAAGAAGGTTGGAGTAAAGAACTTCCTTATTTGCTTTGTTTTTAATTATTTACCCCGATTTTAACTTTTTATTGTGATTTGTATACATTCCATCAGGAAAGCATACGAGCCACATATACGAGGTATTATTAGAAGAAAATGTTCATAACTATTTACTGTAAATGGTACAAACCACTTCTAAATTGCACTGGAAATAGGAAGAAGATTAGCTGGAATGTGTAAATCTTTAAAGACAAAAAGTTTCTGCATCTGTACAATTGAGTAGCAAATATCGAGCTTTGTAAATTGCGGACAACATCGGACTTTCTGGAATCTGTATCCGTTCTCCTTTTCTATCCAAAGAAAATACAAAAAGAAACATATTTCTGTAGCATATCAGTGAGTCATAGGTTCAAGTCTGCAATATTTAAGCTATTTTCCGTTGTTACGATTGATTATTTGATTGTATCAGGAGGACAAAGTGAATGAAGGTGATAATGAAAACACTACCCAAACAAGTGACAATGTAAAAAAAGATGAGGAAACAAATCCTACTGAGATACCAGATAATGCAGTCCTGCGAAAGCTTCTTGTGAGTTGATGTAATGTGGTTTGTAATAATATACTTGCAAAAATGAAAGCAAGCTACTTGCCTCAATGGTACATTTTTTTGTTATTGTTATCCATTGTATGATCTCAGCGTGGACCAAGATACTTTGACCCCCCAGGCAGTGGATGGGGCTCATGCTATAATTGTGGTGAAGAGGGTCACATGAGTGTAAACTGCACTGCTGCTAGGCGCAACAAGCCATGTTTTTTGTGCGGGAGCTTGGAACATAACATTAAACAGTGTAAGAAGGTTAGTGGAATGTGTTGTCATAAAATCTATCACATTATATGTTGTGGTAGTTAGTATTAGATATACCTCTGCACATCCACACACTTCATGTTTATGTATTTGCTCTTCAATTTCATGAGTCAGACCGTTTAATATTTCTCCCTCTGTTTTACTTGGACGAGTTTCACATGCGTGCCTATTTATTTGTAATTTTTTTAAGGCCTGGGCTGAGACACATGCATATTGCTCTAACTTGTAAAGTGGGAACTGGGAAGCAAGCTATATTGCTGCAAACTCAATTTTGTTTCTGCGTACTTGTAATTGTACACCTCTGTAATATTATATTTCCGATCATTCATCATCATTTTAATTTTAATTTTCATTTACCCCATTGCCGCAAAGGCTCCCACCTACGGTGGGGTAAGGGGGGTTCGGATGTACGCAGTCTTACCCCTGTACTAAAGCACAGAGAGACTGTTTCCGGATGACCCATAGTGATGTAATATTATAATTCCGATAACTGATAATTTACATGGAGGAGTTCTGTGAGATTTTATTTGCATATCTGGTGTCTTGACAGATTTGGTAAGTTTACAGTGATTAATTTTCTGTCTTGTTAATTACTAAACTACCCTAAACTTTCAAAGATTTCACTGTTCACTTTATGTTGATTTGCAAATTGAAAGTGCAAGATTCTTTTCTATGAATGTTGTACATTGATCACACTTCTATCTATATCTGGACAGGGAAAAGATTGTTTCATTTGCAAGAAAGAAGGCCACAGAGCAAAAGACTGTCCTGAGAGAAACAATGGAGGGTCTTGGAGTTCTAAAATGTGTTTGAAGTGTGGGGATTCCGGACATGATATGTTCTCTTGTCACTCCGACTACCACCCAGATGACCTTAAGGTTGGGACTGTTATATATATAGATTCAAGTACCCTTTTCCTTTAATGCTTGCAATATTTATATTTTTGCTCCCTTTTTTGGCAGCTGATACAGTGTTACATTTGCAAGAGATTTGGCCATCTTTGTTGTGCTGACTATCCTGACAATGGTCCAAGCGAGGTTTCCTGTTACAAATGTGGTTCATTAGGCCATACTGGTTTGGTTAGTATTATTAATGTGATTTTGATACTAAGATTTCTAGAAAGGAGGCCTCTACTGAAATTGCAGTTAGAAGCTTGCAAAAGTTTAGTTGCTTAAGAGTGACTGCTGAATCAGTTGATGTTTTATTGTACCCTATTTCTGTATGTTGTAAGAAGATATTTTGCTACTACATGAATCACGTCGTTCCATTGTAGGCCCATGTTCATTTTTTTTTTTGCAAAATTGCAGGCTTGTGCTGGATTTCGTGGGGAGACTAGTGCTACAGGGACCCTACTTACATGCTACAGATGCGGTGAAGATGGTCATTTTTCACGGGAGTGCACATTTCGCAGGGTATTTTTCTGGTCCTTTCTTCCTGTCCTGAACCTCTCAATGTTATTATGCTATGTTGCACGGAAACGCAAAAATCAAGTTGAAATGGGAAACGTTAACTTTTGCTCAAAAAACGCTTGTTTGGAGAGTTTCTAAAGAGTTTCCGTAGAGTTTCCGAAACGCAAACGTACACTTTTTCGAGAGTTTCCGTGCTACATAGTTATTATGTGATATCTCATTTTTTTATTCAAAAATTGTGCCATCATTGTTAGGTTGGTAATAAAAGAAGCCATGAATTACGAACACCCAAAAAGAAAATATTCTCTGACATGAAGGAAGAACGCATGGGATCCTGGTCTATGCCGACAGATGATTTTGGCAAGAGAAGAAAGAAAAAAGCGATATATGAAGGTGACTTTAGATCAGAGCATAAAACTAAAAGGAGGGGTGGCTGGATAACGGATGATCCTGAAGACTTCTCAGGATACAATAATACCTGGACAAGTCATGCAACTCCTAGCACTAAGAGATCTTGGAAGTACAGTAATGGCAACTCCAATGGACATGCTTCCAATCCCTGGTCCTCAAGAAAGTCCCATACACCTAATTTCACTCATTCGCCTTCTTCTGTTTCATCGAAACACGGACACCACAGGTTTTCAGCCTCCCGGTTTGGTGACAGTAGTCATGGTGGAAGAAGAAACAGTGACTGGTAGCAAAAAGGCCTGTCAGAAATGGTGTGGCCATTGTGTGATATTCTCTTAAAAGGCTATTCTCTGGTTATCATTGTCAGAGTTGATGCTCACTTAGGCATTTGGTTGTGCAAACAAAAACATCGGCATGACAGATGGGAACCTGGGCATGTGAACAACTTTGATTAAGATTAAGATTTACTCCCTTACCCCTATTAATTTTTGAATTATTTTTTTAATCTGGGTGATTGTAATTTTACAAGTAATTTGTGATTTGTTTTTTCCCTTAGAAAGGAGGAATCAACTATTGTTCCTTATTTTATAGGTATCAAAATATACATTGTATCCAAATCATGTAACATTGTATTGTTGAGGAGCTTTGCTTGTAGAATTTGGAAATGATTCTCTTCACGTCTCCTGCCTAATTTTTAGTCTATGATGGGATGTGGCATCTTAGTAACGTTTTCTTCACAACCTGTAGTTGGACTGTATCAAATCAAGCTTGCTCATGTATACAGGTAATAAAGAAAATTTACCATTTCCGAAAATTCTCCGTTATGAATGAAAATAGTAAGTTGTTGCAGGCACGTATAAAATATGGACCACGCGTACATCTTTTCTTGTTTTGTGTTTAAAACAAGCTATTGAATTCTGAAAATAGAATTAAAGTAAACATTAATTTTTTCCTTTAGGTTCTTTTTGTGAGACTAAGTGTTTTATTTGGCTCTTTTGGATGTTTTAGTTCCTATAGAAAATAACTAGTAGTTCTAAATAAAAATTTAATCATCAAATATTAAAAATAATACAGCTATAAGTTAATAGCTGTATAAAAAATAATACAGCTATTAACTAAAACAATTAACTTTTCAAATTTGCCCTTTTCATAATTTACAGCCCCATGGTTTGTCATAGGCTTGGACTCGGGTCGGGCCACCCGGCCCGTGGACCGGCCCGGCCTGCTACTGTGCGGGACCGGGACCGGCCCGGTTCTCGGGTCCGGGTCCGGGTTGGGCCTAGGCCCGGGGGGTAGGGCGGGTCCGGGATCGGGTCTGAATTTTGGTGAACCGGCCCGGCCGGGTCGGGCCCGGGCCCGGGCCTGGGCCAAATTGAATTTTTTTTTTTTTTCATTTTTGGGCTTCCACCCGGGTTGGGCTTGATGGGTAGGATGGGTTTGGGGGGGTTTGGGAGGGTGGGGGGTGAGGGGGGGGGGGGGGCTAGGAAAGCAAAAAAAAAAAAAAAAAATCCAAACCGGAGGTCCGGCCCGGCCCCGGACCGGACCCGGTGGCTACCCGGGCCGGTCCCGGGTCCACCATTCTTGAACCGCCGGCCCGCCCGGGCCTAGGCCCGACCCGGACCCGGACCCGGCCCGGACCCGAGTCCACCCCTAGTTTGTCATGCAGTGCAGTATAATGAGAGTCTCCAATCCAGGAAGTCGAAGATCAAAGATGTGCTTCTAAACCCGATCACCACCCTGCCCTCGACTCCAAAAGTACCATAGAAGACACTATAACACTACCTAGCAGTCTAGCACAAGGGGCTTTGTCGTAGAGCTTGTCAAGTTGGAGGAGAAATATGGGAGTATGAAGAATTGAAAGAGTTGAGTTCAGCAAAGGAAGAACACGTATGAAGAGTAAAATAAGTACTTCAAATATGGTGACTGTGATTAAAAGTGTTTGTGTTTCCTATAATATGACCTGCATGTTTTTATCCTCAGTGTATGACTTAGAGTCCGTTTGGTAACACTAAAATTGGCTGAATTGGCTGATTCTGCTGAAATTTATGAAGTTCTGGCTGAAGTTGCTATATTGGTTGATTCTGCTGATTAATAAAAAAAAATATTTAAAATATTTGTTATTAATAAATAAAATAAAAAATTATATGAAAAATAGCTAAAATGATCCTCTACAGTATCTTCAGCCAATACAGTCAGAAATGTAACTCCAACCTTACTTTTTCTGCTTATTACATAATTCAGCGCGTGAAACCAAAAATTACTTATTTGGTGAAAAAACTGGTTGATAAGCCTGACAAACCGAAAAAGGGTCACCAAACGAGCTTTTAATCGTACTCCTTAAAAAAAGGAAGCAACCTATTTTTTCTCCTTAGTCTACGTGCCTTTATATTTTTGAGGATACTTTGGTCTCTAAAAATTCTTCTTAGAATCTTAGTCATACGTTTAGTCATAAGATGGTAACGAAACTAAATCACATTTCAGGAATTTGTATGAATTTTACTCATATGTATGTATTTTTCCCATTTACAAATTTGGGGTTGCATTTAGAATTGCCCTTATATTGCCCTCAATAAACATTAAATTGTGCCAAATCCCATAGCACATAAGTATTGTTGGACTCGGGTCGGGCCACCCGGCCCGTGGACCGGCCCGACCCGCTACTGTGCTGGACCGGGACCGGCCCGCTACTGTGCGGGACCGGGACCGGCCCGCTACTGTGCGGGACCGGGACCGGCCCGGTTCTCGGGTCCAGGTCCGGGTTGGGCCTAGGCCCGGGGGGTAGGTCGGGTCCGGGCTCGGGTCTCAAATTTGGTGAACCGGCCAGGCCGGGTGAGGCCCGGGCCCGGGTCAAATTGGTTTTTTTTATTTTTTTTTCATTTTTGGGGTTCCACCCGGGTTGGGCTTGATAGGTAAGATGGGTTTGGGGGGGTTTGGGAGGGTGGGGGTGAGGGGGGGGGGGGGGTTAGGAAAGCAAAAAAAAAAAAAATCCAAACTGGAGGCCCGGCCCGGACCCGGTGGCTACCCGGGCCGGTCCTGGGTCCACCATTCTTGAACCGCCGGCCCGGACCCGAGTCCACCCCTGCACATAAGCGGATAAGTCCAAAGAAAAAAAATCATATTCCATCTTTCTTCTTTCTAGTTGTTCCATATTTCTTTATTCTATTTAGTTGCTTCATAAAGAGGCCGGGCAACCCTCATTTTCGGCTTATCAGGCTTATCAGCCAACTTTTTTACCAAACACATAAATTTTGCTTTCACGCGTTGAATTGTGTAATAAGCCGAAAAAGTAAGGTTGGAGTTACTTTTCTGGCTGTATTGGCTGAAGTTATTGTAGATGACCATTTTAGCTATTTTTACATACTACCTCCGTCCCTTAAAACTTTGCCAATGTTTACCGGCACGGAGAATAATAAAGTAAAAACTGTGTGGTTGAAGTTTGTGCAGATGAGAAAAAATAACAGAAACCACAAAATAATTGATTAAAAGGGAAAGTGACAAAGTTTTTTGGGACGTCCAAAAAAGGAAAGATGACAAAGTTTTAAGGGACGGAGTATACTTTTTTCTTTATTTTATTAATAAAATATATTTTAAAAATATTTTTTTCTTGTATCAGCAGAATCAGCCAATGCAGCTACTTCAGCCAGAACTTCATAAATTTCAGCAGAATCAGTCAGAACAGTCGATTTTCGTGCTGTCAAACGGGCTCAAAATATCACGAGTACTCGCTCTTTTTCACTTTTGTCGGCTTATTATAAAAAACTATGTTTAGAGCTATGAACAAAATTAGTTTATCATACATAATTATTTAAAACCAGTCATGTTTGAATATTTAAGAAAAAAATATGATCGACGATAAAAAAAAGAAAAAAAGAAAAAAATATGATCAGTCTCATTTTCCCTTCAATGCCCGTAAATTGCCTACCTGATATGTACAATAAATGTACATCTTCTAATTTAGAGCCAACGTGTCATTAAATTAATTCAAAGAACGATTCTAATTCATAGTGTAGAATTAATTGTTAATTAATTATTAGCTAGTGTCCTATATTAGACAACTTATTCATTATAAATATGTAGTTAGGACTATCAATCTGGTTAAGTCTGTTTATTATTCTCACATGGTATCAAGAGTTTAGGGTTCTTGATTTTTTCCCCGCACACATACATGGCGTCCTCTTCTGCCAACACCACCGCAGCAGCGCCGCATACCACAACAGCACCGGCGGCGCCGGTCTCTACGTCCTCCGTGACGACGAGGGCCCCTGTTACGTTCTTCTTTGGCGCCAGTTCATCTGTTTTGTAGTGTTTCGTTTCCATGTCGCTTCCACAAACCACGCCCACCCTGGATATGTCGGCATGGACTCCGCCCGTCTTTGACAGGTCACGACCGTCGGTTAGTTTATCATTACTACCGAAGAGGCGGGTTTAAGAGTCGCGGGTTTGACCGGCTCGAGGGACTGAAAGGCCCATACCTAACAATCTCCCCCACACCGATGCTGCCCTCTGGCTCTGATACCAATTGAAGGATCGATCCCACAGCCGGGAGGCAGACTACCGATATTGTCCGCTTTGGATTGCCCCTCACGGATTTAAAACGCGTCTATAGTGGTGGAGAGCCTAGTCCTTATAAGGTACCAAGGACTCTCCTAGCCCACCGGTGTGGGATTCTTTGGCATTCCTATCGAAGAGGCGGGTTTAAGAGTCGCGGGTTTGACCGGCTCGAGGGACTGAAAGGCCCATACCTAACGGTTTTTATTTCTTAGAGATAATCTCCGCATAGTTCCTCTTGCATAGCTTGATGAGGTGTAATAGTGTAGAATTAGTTGTTAATAATGAATTATTAGCTAGTATCCTAATTGTATTAGGCAACTTATTCCTTATAAATATACAGTCAGGGCTATCAGTCAAGTTAAGTCTGATTATTATTCTCACATCAATGTCCCTTTCACCCGTTATTTAACTCTGTCACTAAAATACCAACCCTATCAATTAAACTCAAACTAATTGTGCAGAGGAAATTTCTCATCCCAAACACATTTGTTAATAATGTAAAACATTATTGTTTAGATGGAGAGAACATGTAGACACTTAACGAATTCAAACGGATGGAATTGGACATACCATAATTTTGTCTTGAATACTAAATAAATGACTACTTTAAATAATTTTGTATACAATTGGACTAATTTTGTCACAACCTCTAACATTGGACTATTTGTTTAATAATCCTTTTTCATCTATTACTTGTTAGTTTTCCTAATCATTTACACAACATTGATTACTTTAGTTGTTACACTTAATTTAAGTAGAAATCCTTAAAGTATGTAATGTAATTATTAGCACTAGTTTTTTTTGGAAGAATTAGCACTAGTTTATGTGCTGTTAGGGGATAATTTTATTTATCATCACTAAATCATCGCAAGCCGTAACATATTTCAATATGGAATTAAGGTAGCATGTTTTAATCCTACTTATGTAATCTCACTTCAAATGAGGACAGTGTACTAATTTCATATTTTTCATGATAAGGTTTATCAAGACTGAAGTAATTGAATGTGTTCAAATTCTTTAAATTGTGATAAGACTAGATGAAGTTTTTTTAGGAGACTAGATGAAGTTGTTCACCTATGGAAGAATTGTATTCAATTTCCTTACCTAAAATACAGAGAAATGTACATGAAGTTACA